ACAAGCTCAAAAATTCGTATTCAGGCTTCGTATTGGTATAAATTTACACTTGAACTCTGAACATTTAATATTATGTTTGTAGCCAATAATATAACATAGGATAAGGAAATGAGTATGAACTAGTGATGTACCGATTCAAACTGATTATTTACTCGTATACCTAATAGGTACAAGAGTATTCAATATATAGAACTCGAATATAGAGGGGTTTTAAGAAATTATGACACTTGAATACTGCTTGAGTGTTTAATATAAATTTTTCTTTTTCTGTTTCAGCATTTTTAATTAACAATGAAAAAACTATACCTTACTAGATATTTGTTCTCTTCATAAAAGTAAACTTCAGAAACAATTGAAAAAATACTAGTCTGATAAAATCCTTTAATATCGATCCTTAAAGTACTTGATCAAATCAGTGTCGATTCAGGATTAAATTTTTTCCTAACGAATACTAGAATACTCGAATACCTCTAAAAGCCGACTCCGCACATCACCAATAAGAAGTATTCGCCTATGTTTTCTACGACAAACTTTTATCCACTGGAAGTGAGCCAGCATGGGATTGGTACTCAACTTGTCGTGCAAGTTTAGTGCACTCGGGGTACTATTGGAAACTTCGTTTAATAACGTTCTTTTATGATATGCTCTTTAAATACAATGAAGAAGATCCATATACTTATTTCGTGAAACATTTTACATAGCACAATTACTTAAACTCCCAATACCATGCATAGAAATATACTAATAATATAATTCAATAGATATAATCTATATTAATGTAATCTAATTCAATTGGGGGGAAAGGGATTGTTAGTGATGGAGACTGAGAATCCCATTGCTAGCAATATACCCAATCAGGTCGCCCTCCTCGCGGTTCCCCCTGGAAACTATCGTGGTTAATTCCTCATGAATTCATCATGATGGGCTAACTGGCCTGTTTTCATTCTCATCTATCACCCTTCACTGGTGCTCCACCAGCATATCCCGTTAGCGCAGGCGGGATTACCATTCCATTTTCACCCATCAAAAAAAAAAATCTAATTCGCTTATATATCTAAATATATTAACATTACCTTCATAGACTACAGTAACCGTTTACTATCAAATAGTCTATATACTTATTTACCACCTATATGGTATAAAAAAAAATCGTATTATATTATTTTACGATAAACACAGCCCCACAATTTGTATGTATAATATGATGCTACCCACATTTAACTATGTTGCACCAGAAGTATCTTGGACATTGCAAATTTGAGTGTGTTTACATTCGATATCGTAATATCTTTTATAAATATTTAAGTCAAGGTAAATAACCTTCCACTGAGATACAGGCTCGGTCTAGTTCGGTGGCTAGTAGATCTAACGAAACGTAATTTATATTAATTAAAGACAGTTATCATTATTAAAAAATGTTAGTCTAGCTATAGTCATATTGTGAACACGTGATATCGAATTTTTTATATAGCAAAATTATATTTTCTTAATTTATATTATAACTAGCGGCCCGGTACGTGCTTTGCTACGTATAAAGTGAATAAAAAAAATTATATCAAATTAATTTATTCAAACAAAAAAATACTTTATTAATTGCTAGCTATTTTAATTGTACTGTCAACAGTAAAAAAAGTTTTAATTTGACAGCACAATCCCCATCTTAAAAAAAGTTTGAATTTGTCACAAAAATCCCCATTATCTAAATGATCCGCCATTTATTGAATTCATTTATTACAAAAATGTGATAAATGAAAAACCAATCGACCGATTTTGTGCAAACTTCACATAAACCATCTACTAAATAGTCCGAACAGTCTAAACTTTTGGTTTGGATAAGTGAGCCCGTTCTTGAGTTATAAAATTACAACGAAAAATGACATAAATTTTTATATATATATATATATATATATATATATATATAGAGAGAGAGAGAGAGAGAGAGAGAGAAAGAGAGAGATAGAGAGAGAGAGAGATAAGATCAAATGGGTTAAAAACATGAATCATTATAGGAATTGTTTTGTATAATCAGCCGATGTAAATGTACTATACCGTTAATATTACACTCTCAGCGCGAGAGACCTATAAAATTCTGTCTGATGACTTCAATAAAGGTTTGGTAATGTCGTGGAATGGAGCGATCACTATACCGAAGGAAGAAATATCATCATCGTAATTTCAGTCATTAAATGTCTACTGCTGAACATAAGGGGGGAGTTTTTCGAGTAGTTGCCACACTTGGTAGGCGAATTGGCAATTGAATTTAGGCTTTTAGAAATGATTTAAAAGCGACGCTGGTGCTCATCCCTCTACCAGTAAATTCCTTTAGTCGCCTCTTACGACACTCATAGGAAAAAAGGGGTGACCTATTCTATGCCTAGAGCACATATCCAAGGAATATAAGTAAGGAAGGAATATAAGTAAAGGAAATTAAATTACAATAGTTATAGTATTAAAAGTATGATATCTAAATTAAATGAACTGTCAGTATTTGTGCTTTATTTGTATTGATTACCAAAAGGCCAAGAGACCTTTATATTGCTAAAGAATATATCATATACACATATAAACTTAGGATTACGTAATTGAATTACTATATAAATTTATTACCCTACAGTTATTTATCTAATTCAATACGTTCATAAAGCCCACCTGTAATAGTTTTTTTTATTTATCTTCCATGTTTCCAGCGATCAGTCACGATTTCATTATATATATTGATGTCTATTATATAATTACATGGTATATGATTTCTTCTATCCCTTAAATCCTAAGGTCTACTACAAATTATTACTTTTATTTAATTTAGAAAACTATTTTGCTATCAGTCCAATGAGTTTACAGTCATTTTAATTTATAATAAATTGTAAATATTAAACAAAGTGAAGTTCACTGTATTCCTGACTACGAATACAAAAGGAGTTTTTTAACTTTTTTTTTTCAAATTTATGTTAATTCTTACAGGAACCCAATGCATTGGCGCGATTCCAATATGAAAGCGACGCCCATAAAATTTTATAGGAACCATTGTTTTGTCAAAATTTAAGATTAATCATATACGATATAATATGTGGGTACTTACTAAAATTATCAACATACTGTGGTATGTACATAATATAGTCTAGATGTATAGAACATATATTTTTATTTAAATATTACATCTATAAGTGACAGCTTATATCTAGAATAATTAAAAATATTATATTTACTTTATACATTAGCCAATTATAGATTCCCAATTTGTATACCAGACAATATGATATATATATATATATATATATATATATATATATATATATAATAAACTTTCGATGTGTATATAGTATATATATTATAAGAATCCTATTTAAACATTTATATACATGCTAACTAAAGTTTCTTAGTCATCATTAAATCAGTCGTTTACTGTCTATTGCTGAACATAGACCTGTCCATTATTCGACCGCTGTCAAGTTTAGGTAATGTTTTGTGAGAGATGCTGCTGCCCATCCCTCGACCATTAAGTACTCTTAGTCGGCTCTTAGGACAACCACGGGAATGGAAGTGGTGACCCATTCTATATCGAGACTACACTGCGTTTATGAAGTCCTAAAATGACTAAATACGTTTTTTTTTTTTATACAACTTAGAATGGCTAACAAGCTGACGGCCCACCTGATGGAAAGTGGTAACCGTCGCCTATAGACATGAGCAGTACCATGGACATAACAGAGTATACTGATACACCCCATGCGTTGCCATTCCCGAGGACTCAGGTGTTATGATGTACAAGTACAATCGTAGATCCTCTAACATAAGAAAACATATAGTCCTGAAAAAAAATGGAAAAGTGACCAATAAACTTTTACGTTTATTACCTCCCCAAATCTTTTGGCACACGTTTGAAGTTAGAAATATGCATTTATATTACTTATTATATACATCAAGTAGAAGTCTATTAAAAAAAAATATTCAAAATATACCTACAGCCGAACATATAACCTACTCCTTTTATTGAAGTCGGTTAAAACATGTAAATATTCAACGATATCACAACAAAGCCACAAACAAACAATGATATCTACCGACTGCAAACCGCTATAAGCAAACATAATAGCGCAAATACAGAAAGACGAGATTGGCAGAACCACATAGAATTTTGTTGGTCGAGAATACACCAAACAGTAGAGGCAAGTTGTGGTCAGGTCTATTCTTATGGACAAACTTATTGTGTGATGTCAAAGAACGAAATAATCGCGGTGTGAATAATGAAAAGACAATTTGCGTTGAGCATGCGAGTCCTCGACGCGAGTTCAACGGACGACGGGGTGCGTGCGAAACGACAACCAGACCTGAAATAAGCTACCATCCACTGATATTTTTTACTGCGTTCTTTGCTTCAATTTTTAAATAGATTGGCTATATTTATATTAATAGTTGTTTTATTTATTTATATATTATATTATTACTCATGCTTTATAAAATTGAATTTTTTGTTGTAAAATAAACACAACTTTTGTTTAACAATAATTAACTTGTACTGCTAAATTAATTGTAATACAGAATTATAAAAGAAAAAAAAATCAAATTTACGTTTTTCTTTTTTTATGTGTGATCTGGTTGGATATCTACGTGACGCATTCGAAATGAGTATAAAACATCATTCATTCGTATCCATTTTCATCTCGCTGATTAAAATATTAATAAGGTTACAAAGAAGATGACAAGCGAAGGAAAATAAAGTCCTTAAATACCAACGCCGTCCAGGCAAACGCCACTAATACCCCTTGAGTAGACGAAGTGACAGCCTCAAATAAGTTACAGATGGCCCAACAACATTTCATACGACAGTAAATGGCGGATATTACAGTGATGATAAATAGATATGTGTGTTAAATTGCCTCTTCTTACTTTGCTATGTGTATTTCATCTAAGTGGATGGCGTAAGGCGGCAGGGTGTTGGCGCGCACGCGCCGTAAGGCTTCTGCGCCTCTGCCCCGCAACTGCCAGCTTGTCGACGCCAGCCGCACGGGCGGCCGTCGTTCGCTCTATCGGCCTACATTCACACATGACTCGAATACTACTCGAATACAAATCGATATCATACTGATCCACTGAACGAAATCGGATCGTGTCACGTGCCAAATATAATATACTGTGCTCAATAAATAAAAATAAAAATAAACAATAACAATAGACAACTAGCGCTGAACAAATAGATACTGCCGTGTTAATTACAACGAATGATTGTAAAATATCTCACTGTGATTTGTGTTCATGAATGATTTGTGTGTGTGAAACGATTAACTTGTGAGTGTGTTTAGATATGTATGTTGAAGTTTTAATTAATATCTAATTAAAACAGGTATGTTTTAATATAATTTATTAAATAAGCATGTGTTTATTATAAATTATGATTACTAAGATGAATATAATATAATTTTTAGTTCATAACCTCATTCCATTCGATCTCTACGCTCATTATAAAAATATACCATAATTAAACGTTAATAACTTTTAATAATATAACATTACAAAGCACTTACGCTTTTACACCTTTTGTTTATTTTATCTTGACACAAGTATATAAATACTACATATAAAACTATGAATAATATCAAGTGTGCGTGGAACCGCCGTCGTATACCTTACCATATGATATAATATTTTTTAAAAACTATACAACCTTGCCTGTACTTAATATTTATTTGTTTTTATTTTTATTATTTTAATATGCGTTTTATAAAGTTTAAAGTCTTGTGGGAAGAAATAAATAAATTATTAATGTATTAGTTTAATCTATCATTCATTATTAACTTAATATTTTATTATCATCATAATGACCCGATAACTTCGTGCTGAAATTACATTACTTTTTCCCGATTACAGAAGAATATGTACTGTCTAAACCACTAATCAGGTGGTTTGATTTAGGTTAATATTATTAGTTCTCTATTATACTAGTGTACTATAGTGCTTTGTTCTCCTAGTTTCCTCTTACGACATCTGGACAATATTGCCCTAGTTCATAGTTGCAACATTGTATCTTTCATTTGTCATTCAGTATATATAAATAGTAGCTCAACTTACTATTAAAGTTACCTGCTGAAATATACTTGTTTTAAGTTTTTGTTACTATTATCGGGTTTAGACTACAATAATAAAGGTAATACAGAATTCATTTCATTTTCATTTAAGAGTTTCCTCTTGTCGGTGCAACCAATTCATGCATCTTCCTCCAGCCAGCTCTATCCCAGGCCATATCCTTTATCTCCCTATACGACATGACGCCTAGTGTTTCCTTTATCTGTCCCATGTAGTTAATCCTCGGTCTTCCTCTTCCTCTTTTGCCCTCTATCTTTCCTTCTACTATGCTCTTAAAACAGAATATTATGAGTAAATTACCTATTTCATTTCATTTAAGTGCTTCTGACAGACATCGTTTAGCATGATGATACCACAAAGAAACTTTCTTTTTATAGAGTTTTCTTATGGGTCTGATGAGGCCCTCTAAAAATAGAACTGTATAAAAAAGAAAGTTTCTACGGAATCCAAAAAAGTTCTAACAATTTGCGTTTCCCTTAGAATATAAGAAAGGAAATGTTGAGCTTTTGATAATAGAACATGCCGTAACAGATTCAACAATTGGGAATAAGTTGAATGCTTATCTCTTATTACCTATAATCTATTTGAAAACAACTTTGCAATATATATAACTATTTTTATTATACTTAGAATGCAAGCAAGCTAACGTTCCTCCTAATGGAAAGTGGTAATCGTCATCTGCAGACGTGAACTCAAAGACTTCTCTACTTATCAATTAATAATAAAAAAAAATATTTATTTTGCAAGAACAATTCACCAATTAATCAAAAAAACTTCATATTAATTAATCCATTGCTACTGCTGAAGACTAAGATGTAACGCCTCTGTACCCCGTCGTTTCACTGCCATATCCATCCTTCAAACCGAGGGAAAAGGGATTGTCAGTAATGAGTTCTAACAGCCCCATTGCTAGCGATATACCCTATCAGATTGACCTCCATGCGGTTTCTCCTGGAAAACATCGAGGTTAAATCCTGTTGAATACTTCACGATGGGCCAACTGACCTGCCTTTATCCTCCATCTACCATTGGTGCTTTATTCTATCATTAACTATTAGTGCCCCATCAAAGTATACCAATAGCGCAAGTAGGGTTACACTTCTATTTTTATCTATTAAAAGAAAAACCAGAGGGAGACTTTGTACAAAAGTCGATTGCTTGGGTACCTCTGTCCCATTCGTGTTTCAACCGTGAAGCAGTTGTGTTTGCATGGCTGTGTTTTGGTTTGAAAGGTGGGATATGGCGTGAATTTACAGGGTACAGAGGAATAACACCTGAGTCCTCAGTAATGGCAACGCATGGGAGGTATCATGGGCGAAACAGTATACTCTGTTATGTCCATGGTACTGCTCATGTCTATAGGCGACGGTTACCACTTTCCATCAGGTGGGCCGTCAGCTTGTTTGCCATTCTTAGTTGTATAAAAAAAAATATATAAAAATAAAACCATTCATATCGAAGCACAGCCATACAAGCATATCTGCTTCATGGCAGAAGTACGACTAACTTACTTTTATTAGTCAATAACTGTAAATTAATATTATTATCATAAAGATAAATTAATTTACCTAAATTGCATCCCATCAGCCGTTTTCCTCCATTTAATTTGATGTAGTTTAGGCCGCTCATGTTAATTAATTTGGTTTTATTTAATTAAAGCCTTCTTTAGGCCTACAAAAATTGTGAACCCCTACATTCCACCATGGTACATGATGACCTCAGGTGTGGCAACAGGTGTCGATTAATAAAGTTAAGCTACGTTGAAGATGTTTGGTTATTGCACACAAAATTTATTACCTTACGAATTTTGTATTAAGAGTAATATTGCAAAAGACTGAAATTCTTAGTATTGGAAAATTGATCTTTCAAGATTTCCATTTAATTCGATCCGAGGTAAATTCTACATAAACACCGATAAATATATTTTCTTTTTAAAGTTATTTCAAATATCAGTTAAAAAAAATTTATCCTTTCTTTTATGCCAACTTCTCTATTACATTTTAAAGAAGTTAATAATAAGTAGCCAAGCGTGGCTACTACTGGCAAAACCTCCTAATTGGGGGAAGCCTAATATGTTAAGCTGTGGACAGTTAATGGCTGATATGGTTATATGATGAAATAATAAGTAGTATAGGTATTATTCCTTGCAGTTAATACATAAATTATAACCTCCTTGCTGCTATAATCTCATAACCTCAATGATTTCTCTGGTGCGATTCTCATGTTGGTTAATTAAAAAAGAAAACAAGCTTTTCTAAATTAGATACACTAGGTTTTGCCCATAGAATATTTATTAAATTAGTTACGTTTATTATTATTGCTATTAAACCTTCCTAAATATTCATAAAATCTGTCAACATTTTTTTTATTACCATTGATATTAACTTGATATTACTTTATTTTTATAGCCACTTTTGGTTACCCTTTCTTCTTACCAATAAGACACTTTATTTGTTTTATTCTGTAACATCTTGTATTTATACGTTGGTTATGAATAAATTATTACTATTGAGATATTTATTTGCCGTTATTGCCCAAATCAGGATGAAAGCAAATTCAGCAAATCTTCTGATCCAAATGTCAAATGTCCCTTTCTTTTACATAAAGTACTCGTATCTACTTGAGTTTGTATTTAAGTTAAATTTACAAAATGTGGAATACATTAAACACGATACTGTACTCTTAATCTGAATATATAGCCACCAAATAAACACTATCTCAGAACTTTTCAGTATACTCGGTGCTTGATAAAGTTTCAAAAATCAATACGTTGAATACTTTTCCTCCAATTTAGACTTTTTTTTATTATGATTACCTATTTAATTCTAATTTCAGAAATTTCGGATAATGAATCTCATCATCAATTCAATGACTTCAAAAAATATTTGCTGTTAACTCTAAGTCTATTTAGTAGTTGGCATGGTACCTATGATATGTGATATGAATCTAAAATTCATAAACTTTATATAATACTACTTATAGTAGTTATAATATTAATATAAGTCATCATCGTCATCATTTTAGCCGTTCACTGTCAATTGCTGAACAGAGGGAACCAATAAAAACCTTCCCCATAAGGGAAGTTTTGGCAAAAATAGCCACGCTTGGCAGGCAGGTTGGCATTCGCAGTTAGGCTTTTAGAGATGTTTTAAGAAGGACACTGATGCCCTTCTCTCGCCCTCCCTTAGTCGCCTCTTCTCTCTTCTATATTCTATGCCGGAACCACACGGCACGATGGAAAATTAATATGATATCTCAAATAATACAGTACGGAGCATATTTTTTAGAGTAACTACAATTTTCATCAAAATTGTGATAACTTCCAAATCAGCGCTTTATAACGTGCAATGTAATTTTAATTAAAACGAAATATAAATACTTACATAACAATGTATCTACATAATTACATATGGTTGAGTTATGATGATTTCTAAATAACAGCTTTTTAATATTTAAATCAGACATTGATTAACATATCAGACAAACCAAATAATTATTATATTGTAGTACCAGTTGTATCCCGCGACAATTATTTCTTTTTGATAAATACGTATAATTAAATTTTGAACATTATCTTTGATGTCGTATGGAGCAAGTATAAACAAAGTATCGGGTTTACACAATTAAAAGCTTAGGTTAAGTCGTAGAAAACGACAGTCGCATCCATTTTAACTTCTTAAACAGCATAAATATATCTGAGTAACTCAGCAGAGTTTCTTTGTTTAACCATTCAAAAGTCAAATTGATTTGACTCTGGTGTACTAATTAAATCACTGACTCAAAAACATATTTCTATTAATCAGTGCTTTATTTTGGAATAGGAAACAAGTATTTCCATGGTTGTATGAACCATAACATAAATATGCACTGTGGCATTCATGATAACATGAAAGTTACTGCCACTTCATTGCCACATACCAGATTTCAAACCCGAATACAAACTTGTAAGCACAACTGCTTGGTATAGAATAGAAACCCAACATCTATGAAGTAGATCCACCTACTTATGCAAATTACTTTTACCTATTAAATAATAGTTCTACGAATTTCGTAAGTTAGATTAGTATATTACAATAACTATTCACTCTTAAGCATGATCACATGAGACATTTTTGTTGAGCTATGAGAATTGTCGATGATCCCAGGCTCACAGGCGGTATCGAACTCTTAAATCTTAGGAGAGATTTTACCTCATTCTGCGTGTTCTACCGCCTGTACAATGGATTGTGCTCAGAGGAATTGTTCAATATGATGCCCACAGCCACTTTCTACCATACCATACGGCTCGCCATCGACAGGGAGTTCATCCTCATGTCCTACAGCCTCAATGGTCGCGTACTGCGCGGTTTCAGAGATGTTTCCTCCCACGAACACTCAGGTTGTGGAACGAGCTCCCTGCCGAGATTTTCTCAGGAGACACAGCATGGGGTTCTTCAAAAGCGGAGTAAAGAGGTTTCTTCAGGGTCGGCAACGCACGCGTAATACCTCTGGTATTGCAGGTGTTCATAGGCTACGGTAACCACTTACCATCAGGTGGGCCGTATACTTGTTTGCCACCTCAGTAGTATAAAAAAAAATCATAAGATATTGTGTCTTCTGATTTTTGTAAAAAAAGTTTGTAAAATAAGCAATTTACAAAATTACCAATCCCGTTTCAGACCTCAAATATATCCAACGACACCACACTACAACAAGTTGCGATATTGTAAAAGTTTTTTCATTGTTTCAGAATGAGAGCGGCAAAAGCGATATTTCTCATTTTATTTTTCGGTCATCTATCTGCACTTCCAGATACAATTCGAATCGGTGAGTTAATATTTAATATCTTTAAAAGAATTATAAACTCTAGTTCTTATATTTTTAATGTTTTTATATTTAGCTTTCTTCACGTATTCTTTACGGAGTTTGGCAGAGAAATCCGAGTGTTAAAGGTCTCTATCCTGACATGCATCTCTAGCTTCATGCAATTTATACCAGTTCTAAAGATACTTCACTCATTCATCAAATAGAAGACGGTATATTTGATTAAAATAGTCTGAATCTCTTAACTACATGCATCTACTTTTTAATAAACATTTTGTAATAAACGGTTTCAAATAACCAATTTTATTATTAGAGACCTATTTTGGTAAGTAAAGACGTTTTTACCAGGTGGACTGTTCCATCCTGAGGATGATAAACAAGAAGTAGCATTTCGATATGCAGTGGAGCGAGTGAACGCTGATAGAGCGATATTGCCAAGAGCGAAGTTACTGGCACAAGTTGAGACTATATCACCTCAAGATAGTTTCCATGCTTCAAAAAGAGGTAACAATTTAATATAGTTTCTTATAGGTCAATAGGTAGTGATGACGTAAACTCGCAATTGCTTGGAAGTGCCTTACTAATCAAAATATTGTAAAATACTGGCTACCTTTGCGTCGAAAGATGCAACTATTAGATTGGAAAATTTTAACCTTTTAAACTATTGAATAGCTGAAAGTTATATCAAAGGCCTCACTACTATTAACTTAATCAATTATTTAAAGATTTAAAAAGAGTTGAATTTAATGTTTTCATACCCGAAGACATAATATTTCAACTCATTCTTTCTTTCACGCTTGCAAGTGTGTCACCTTTTACGAAGCGGTGTAGCAGCTATATTTGGGCCCCAATCAGCACCAGCAGCAGCTCACGTTCAATCTATATGTGACACAATGGAATTACCTCACTTGGAAACCAGATGGGACTATCGCACGCGACGGGAATCCTGCCTTGTCAACCTATATCCTCATCCAGCCGCTTTAAGTCGAGTAAGTAAAATGCTAATACAATAAAAGCATTTTAAACGAACCTAGTAATAACCTAACAGGACCTTTTCTCGAATTTGCACCAAACTAAATTCTTTAAAAAACAATTCTTTAAATTATATGGAAATATAATTTATCATATTTCGTTCTTATTTTTATTTGGCTTTTCTAATTTTGCAACATTTATTTAATATTACAAAAAATTTTGTTCAACTTCTAAAATTTCTCAGATACTGTTTATTATAGCTTATATACTTTTAAAAAACATGTATGTATCTTTTAGGCATATGTTGACCTTGTTCGAGCCTGGGGTTGGAAATCCTTTACCATTGTGTATGAAAATAGTGATGGCTTGGTTCGTCTCCAAGAATTACTCAAAGCTCACGGCCCATCAGAGTTGCCTGTTGCTGTCAGACAACTGCCTGATTCACATGATTACAGGTTAAATTATAAAAAAATATATTTCTATGTACAGTACAAAAAAAGATATACATCTATTATCTATATATATATATATATATATATATATATATATATATATATATATATATATATATATATATATATATATATATATATATATATATAGTAGATAATAGATGTATATCTTTTTTTTTTTCTAGCATGATAAACTTTTTTTGCAGACCATTGCTGAAGCAAATAAAAAATTCCGCAGAATCACACATTGTACTAGATTGCACTACTGAGAGAATCCGAGATGTTCTTCAACAAGCGCAACAGATTGGCATGATGTCTGATTACCATAGCTACCTTATAACGTCACTTGTATGTAAATTTTCTTAAATTTCCTTTTAAAAATAGTTATTTTTATACAACATAAAAGGGATTCTTTTTATTCAACAGGATCTTCATAGTGTAGATTTAGAAGAATTTAAATATGGAGGCACCAATATAACAGCATTAAGATTACTCGATCCCGAACGAAGTGATGTCCAAAAAGTCATAAGGGATTGGGTTTACGACGAAGCCCGGAAAGGGCGAAAGTTACAACTAGGGCACACCTCAGCAAAGGTAATAATTTGCGAAATATATTTACATACGATAAATAACTGATTTTGTTTACATTTCTTAAACAAATATTGAAACTAAACGTTTTGTTTGCAGGAAAATATGACGTTTATAAAGGTGAGACTAAATTATATTAATTATAATAATATTGGATAACTTGATAACTAATAACAGTATTACAAAATAAGCTTATAAAAAGTACTTCCATTCCATCGAAATATACCTATCAATAAATGAATACTAATAGTAGAAGGAGTCGAGATAATGGAACCTTTCTTGTTACTTACTCGCGTTTTTCGCTATTCCCTTTTTCTTAAGATCTTACAAACACTTTGCTATAGCAAAAATTGTTTAGATGTTTACAACGACACTTTCATATTCTTTTTAACACTTTTTTCGACCAACTTCAAAAAAGAAGTAGGTTCGCAATTCCGTTGTGTTTTGTGTTAGTATGTTACCTCATAATTATATCATTTACAAACGGATTTGGAAAATTAGTTTTTATCTGAAATGATATACTTTCACATTAATCCCATTGATTGAGACATTTTATCAAAATCGATTTAGTATTTTAGTTTTTAAATCAAAATAACTGGTTTTGCCACGATTGAAATCGAACTTTTTTTTCATGCAATAATCAGACGGAGACAGCTCTCATGTATGATGCAGTACATCTTTTTGCAAAAGCTTTACATGATCTAGATACATCACAACAAATTGATGTAAGACCACTTTCGTGCGAAGCAGAAGATACTTGGCCTCATGGATACAGCCTTATTAATTATATGAAAATTGTAAGTAAATATAGTATCTACATAACATATACTTTTGAACATATTTTTGAAACCATGTTCTTTCACGTTCTAATAATTTTCATAATAAATCTCAAAACAGTAAATAAAGTTCATGTTTTAACAGGAGGGAATTATCACAAATGAGTTAACAAATTAACAGCTGGTGTTGTTAGAGTTATCGGTATTCTATGGATTAAGCTTTAAATATTACATTAATTTTATATTTTTAACGTTAGTTTTTTAGTATGCAGATCTATTTTTAACATTATAATTTTAAATATAGCATACTCGTATATTTTAGCTGGCAAATACATATTGGTTATACCTACACTGTATTATTTATAATATTGTGAACAAAGTTACTTTAATACTTACCTTGTTTATTTCAACAAACAGGTTGAAATGAAAGGCTTAACTGGAGTTATAAAGTTTGACCATCAAGGATTCCGAAGCGATTTCACTCTAGATATAATTGAACTGACAAGGGACGGTCTTCAAAAGGCGGGAACTTGGAACTCCTCTGAGGGAGTCAATTACACAAGGTCATACGGAGATAATCAAAGGCAAATAGTGGAGATACTGCAAAATAAAACTCTTATTGTTACTACAATTTTGGTGAGAGATATTAATTTTAATACAAATTTGTTGTGTATAACAAATCACAAAAAACTATATACTAGTTTTCAGTTGCACATATTTTAAATAAATTCTATTGCAATATTTCGCATTTAAAGATCTTCAGAAACACGAAGAGTATATATACTACTATAGAGTAAAATATATATCCATTGGGAACATATTGAGCAAGGACATGTCTTTGTTCACAATATAATACTGATGTTTGAGAAATAGGAAGAGGAAAACGAGATTCAGTAAAAAACTCTTTGAGAATTTTCCTTATGAATAAAAATATTGTTTTGCAGTAAATATAAAAAGTTGAGCTATTCGACTCGATTCAAATGCCTTTTATATATAGTTTTATATCTTTTATAATTCTTTTTATGTATATGTATATATAACATTAATTTCGTAGAGTGCACCATATTGTATGAGGAGAGAGGCGAGTGAGAGGCTAACAGGGAACGCACAATTCGAGGGGTATGCCATTGATCTCATTCACGAGATATCTAAAATTCTGGGCTTCAATTATACATTCAAGTTGGCGCCAGACGGTCGATACGGTTCCTACAACCGTGAGACTAAAGAGTGGGACGGAATGATAAGAGAATTGCTGGAGCAACGTGCCGATGTCGCTATCGCTGATCTTACTATAACTTACGATAGGTAAAGCTGTAATCATAATCTAGTTGTATCTATCTATACTAATACAGTAAACTGGAAGAGTTTGTTTGAACAAGCTGAAATCTAAAACTATTAGTCGGATGTCCAAAATTCTTTTTGCATTTAATTATTCATTCTTGAGTATGTATATGGGCTATTCAACATCACGGTACGAACATGAATGAAGCCGCAAGATACAATGGATATATTTGTATAACGCGCCCGAAATTTATTGTGGTATTATTACACAAACAAATTTTACTCATTTACATATATTTTTATTATTCCATGAATTAAACTAATCCACTGATGTAGTGATATGACGGTCTTATCCCTCTATTCTTATTGGTATTTTTGTTAGTTGACAGTTTTGATTTATTAGAAAAGTCATAGTTCGTATCAATGCAATCAGTTACTCTGTGGGGACAAATGCAATAAAAACTAAACATCTGAGGGCAACGAGTGATAAACGATTTTATATTTGAACGTTTTTGCTAATATTTGCATAGAAAAAGAATACAATAATTATGATTGATTTGTATAATAGAAGTGCTAGACTTATATTGTTTTATAACTATGACTATTTAGATATGTTGTTCAAAAAATCTACTTCAATCGTACCAGACTTACCAGAGCGAGACTTTGTACAAAAGTTGTTTGCTTGGGTACCTCTGTCCCGTTCGTGTTTCTGCCATGAAGGAAGTGTGTTTACAGAGTGACACAGTACACTCTATTATCTCCACGGAATTGTTCATGTCTATAGGCAATGGTTATTACTTTCGACTAGGTGGGCCGTCAGTTTGTTTGCTATTCTACGTTGCGTAAAAAAGTAATATTCCTGAAAAGCAATTGCGTTAAAAAAAATCATTTACTTTTTCCCTTACTTACTTTTATATAAGAATAAACATTAAATACGTTTCCTTCAGTTGAAATAAGCAATTAAGAATCGGTTCATAAACTGATTACTATGTAGTCAAACCCTACCTATAAGTAGGTATAAGTACCTATTTTTAGAAATGTAGAAATGAGATTATTGTGATAATGTTAATCATAGAAATAGGTTTACAAATCGGATAGAATAACCTTCTATAGATTCTCATGTACATATATATATATATATATATATATATATATATATATATATATATATATATATATATATATATATATATCCTCCTGAGGTCTGAAGTCCTAATACTAGAACAAAATCACATTGTTGTAAACGCCCAATTTTTAAAATAGCAATTTGGAGTCAACACCCACTGTACTAATACTAGAACAAAATATTTTCCGTCATCTGCCGCGTTTGAATTACGTGCCACGTTGTGTATTCAATGTCGTTTAGTTTGTAAATATATTTGGTATTGTGGCAGTGCACTGCTTTCAATGGACAGGGAATTTTTTTTCGTTCTTCTGTCATTCTAAGTCGAAGCGGTGGCACGTACAACGATAAAAGGTTTGTTTAATTAATTTATATCTTTTAAATCTTTGTGTTATATTTACGACATTTTGTTTTTTTATCGGGACAAAGGGATGCAGTTTATATAAACACTATTATTTTATCGTAATTTTGTCAATATGAATATGCTTTTTTAGTGATTATTTTTTTGTACTAATACTAGCACTATAAGCGTTTATATGGTTTTTTAGTGATTTTATTTCATGTTAATACTAGTACGGGGGGCATTTATACCTTTAATTATTTTCCTTCTAGTTAGTCTACGCCATTGTGCTGACAGTTTTCCCTTTCACAGATAGTCAAATATTAGAGATACTACATCAATCAGATTTCGAAGACGACGAGGGAGATCCTTTTACAGGAGAGGATACTGGCAATGAGTTCGTTCCAGATAGGAATGATGCAAGTGAAACCAGTACTAGCTCAGAATCAGAGTCTAAGAGTCCACCACCAATTCTGAAAAGTAGTCGAGGACGAGATCGATCGCGCATGCGAGCCCGTAGTCATGCACATTACAGCAGAAGATGTGAGCGCACTCCGCAATTTACTAGTGCTCGCGGTAGCAGCAGTTCAGATAATCAGTTTACATGGGCTGTAAAAGAATTTCACAAAAAACCTTCCTATGCTTTCTGAGCCATCGTACTCGATACAAGACAGAACAAATTTTTCAAAATTAGACTATTTTACTCAATACTTTGATGATGAGCTAATAGATATGATCGTAGATAAAACGAATCAAACAGCCGTTTATAAAACAGGAAAGAGTCTGCTAATAACAAATGGCGAGTTAAAAGTTTTCATAGGCTTGTTCTTGATTATGGCATGTATTGAATAACCAGTAATAAGGATGTACTTATTGGGAATTGAATTATTTGTTATATCAGGTGTTTAAATTTCCATTTTCTATGGGACTTCAGGTTATATGTAGCATCCCAATGTGATAAATATAGAACAAAATATTTTGGAATCTTTTTTTTCTGTCGGGCAAGCCTAAATCAATATTAAAGTATCCCTAAAATATTACACCTTTATCTGTTGTGGTTACCAAGATATGAACAATTTTTGGTCTGGGCGTTTAGGACTTAATTAATTTGTTCTAATATTAGGACACTGGGTCTTCCTTGGATGTACCCACATTGAAACCGGGCCGCAGGAGGATATATATATATATATATATATATATATATATATATATATATATATATATATATATATATATATATATATATATATATATATACATATTTATTTATTTACTAGCCGTCCAAGTTGTTTTTTCCTGTACGTCTTACAGCTGTGACATAACAATGATACTTCACGCTCACAACAAACAACCTTATATTCATATTTATGATAGTTTATCTGATTTTTTTCAATTTATCTGCCATCATGTTTCCATTGATTTCACTATTCCTGGTTAACACTACTTGGTACAGAGGAGAGAGCATTAAATGTAATTTATGTAATTCTCTAGGGAGCAAGTGGTCGACTTCACGATGCCGTTCATGAATCTCGGTATCTCAGTGCTATACCGCAAGCCCATTAAACAACCGCCGAACTTGTTCTCCTTCCTCTCGCCCCTCTCCCTAGACGTCTGGATTTATATGGCTACAGCGTATCTGGGTGTCTCCGTTCTACTGTTCATACTTGCCAGGTATGTGTAACGTTTACTTGCATGTAAAAATCACATACATAAATTGGAGAACAATTTTTTTTTATCACATAGGTACTTTCAAGAATTTTTGTATCTATAAAATAAGAACTTACATTTTTAATTTTATGATTAGCTGTGATTTTATTTCTTACTAATTTTAGAATTATTTCTCACACTATATATAAAATGTGCTGACGCATTATAATACCTATGTCAAATTTAAGTATAAGTTTTATTACGTATGTAAGTTTATGTAACTCTATTTATTAATTTTATTTAATTTCTAATGTGAAAGTTATCAAACTAAAATCTTATTACATCACTGTCAAAAACTAGCATTAGAAAAAATTGCATAATTACAAGAATCAAACCCAATAGAAATATGTGAAGAGCGTATCGTATCGTATTATAAGTAATATCTGTTTACAACAAAGAGAAAAGAATATTTTTATTAATAATAAAAAAAATATAAATGCCAAATTCGTTATTTAATAGGTTCACACCGTACGAATGGCATCAATCACACTCGCCAGACGGCGAGAAAATGGAAAACATTTTCTCACTGGCCAATTGTTTGTGGTTTGCCATCGGATCTCTTATGCAACAAAGCTGTGACTTTTTGCCCAAGTAAGACGCCAATAACAGAAAAAATATCTATGTATTACTAAATTAGACATTAGAAACACACTTTTTGTTCTAGTGTGCTTTTAATGTCATTGGCATAGTGAACTCAGCGAAGTCCAAGTAAAGAACTATTATCGGTTTCGAAAATCCATCTAAAACATAACTTTATGAATGTCAGTATTACAACTAAAAGAATTTTCTTACTTCTTATTTTCAACTTCGCATTTTTTTAAGAATTTTGGAATATAACTTTTTTTTTATGTTAACGGTTGGTATTGAAGCTAAAGTGACATTTAATATGAAGCATACTTGCCATACTTTTAATACAGTTATTAAACAATCTTAGTTGTAATAATTATTTTAATAAACTATTATTATTCATTTTTATAACTTAATGCGATAAAATTCAAATATAGAAAATAAAAACAAATATATGCAAAAGTTTTAAACTTTAAAAAGCTGCTCAGGTCAACCTACAATGTAAAGGTCGCAAGGTCAATGCGCTAAAAGTGCATTTACCTGGCGGAGGCGGGACGTCTCTTAGTGCCTGATAAGACATTTAAATTCTAAGAAAACTATGGCAAAATTATACTAAAAGAAAGAAGCTTGTAAATTATATATTCTAAATATATCTATATCTACATGAAATATTAAATACATTGACATTCATTAAAAGTTTAATGGTGGAGATATAAAGTCTGTATGTCAATAAGTGACAGACAGTATTTGGGCACAGGTTCAGTCCGTACGAGTGGGACAGCCCCAGGAACTGTCTAGACGAGCCGCCGGTGTTGGAGAATCAGTTCACTCTGTTGAACTCGCTGTGGTTCACTATCGGGTCCTTGATGCAGCAAGGTTCGGATATCGCACCGAAGTAAGTCCCTCCCGCATAACAACCGATGGCTACACTTCTAATTTCCACTCAACGTTTATTTATTCAACGATAAATCAACCAATCCTAAACTTTTCGACCCTAACGATTGGACAGAATTGACTCGCTGATAACTACAGCAAGGAAATGTAGCCTTCAGTTGCAAATCTTGGATAAAGGGAGTTCCTCTTTCACTAATTAGTTTCAAAGCAACCACAGCCCTTTGTAAATTTCAAGCATCGGTAGCCGTCTGGAGCGTCCAATTTAAACAGCGACGCGTCGACAATTTCCACTGGCTTTGTTTTCCACTATAGTTCGTAAAGACAATGTAATTTAGTTGCTAATTGAACAACTAGTTGAAATAATGTTTCTAACATTATGCACCTGATACCTTTATGGCTTGTGTAGTATCCATAGCTTGCTGCATCAAAAGTTTGAAGTTAATTTAGTGTACTATTTGCAGAGATTGATATTTATATATACGCTACTATAAAGAAAACTTATTTAATGTCAGTCTCTGTAGATACCTTTAGTTTAATATGAAAAGTAATTATTATTTATGATCTGTGTTTTAATAGATAATAATGGAATGATAACCTCGCCTGCGCTATTTATATACGAGGCGGGACACAAGTGAATGATGATAGATGAGGATGAAAAGGACCTGCCATTTGTTGAGCCTATAGTGTACTGACTATATATACGAATTCCACAACAATTAACCGGGATGGTTTTCGAAGAAAACCGCGTGGAGATTGACCTAATAGGGTATATTACTAGCAGTGGGGCTATTACATCCCTATTAACTAACTACTAACAATCCCTTTACCTCCGCTTAGAATCTATTAAAAAAAAATCTAAAAAAAATTAAGTTTGATACTAATTTTATAAATTGTCTAAAATCAGTAAACTTTTTCATATATTTAACAGGCATGATAGTTTCATTTAATTAAAAAAGTAATTGTACGCACAATTGTTTAAAAGTAATTCAATTTTAGTTGCATAATAACACTCTTCGAATTGCTAATTTTGTATTTTTTCCATCGACTAGAGCGGTATCAACGCGTATGGTAGCAGGAATGTGGTGGTTCTTCACATTAATTATGATATCATCATATACCGCCAATCTAGCCGCCTTCCTAACTGTGGAACGCATGGACTCTCCCATTGAAAGCGCTGAAGATCTAGCCAAGCAGACTAAGATTAAGTACGGAGCTTTGAAGGGAGGATCTACCGCTGCCTTCTTTAGGGTAAATTGCGTTGTAAAAATATTGTACTAATAGTAATATTATATCGACACAATATTTACAAAATAGTAAAAACTATTTATTTATTCATGTATTTTATTCCGTTATTTTGTCATCATCACGATTCTCATTTCAGTAATCCTCTCCATCTCTTTTTTAAAACAAAAAATCGTAAGTAACACCTACGATGCAGTGTAACCTAAAATGTAACTTAAACCACTTCGTTTCCGCGAAATATGTTTAAATATTTCAAAAGAATCACTTTATATTTCAATCCAAGTAAAAGTCAGTAACAATAATAAAGATCAATCAGTTTATATTGTTATAATCAGATAATATAATACGGTATATAATTGTAAAGTTATTCTAGCAATAACACCGAAATTTCCTAATAAATATTTGGAAAACAACTGTTACTCGAAAGGTGACAAAAAATCTACTTACTTTACTAGATAGCTGCACCCGTTTTATTAGTATACTACTTTATCTGTCTTTGAGAATAATATCCATTTTGAAAACTAGAACACTTTCTAAGAAGTTTGCTTTTTTAAACAACTTTGAATATTAAACTAGCTGACGGCCTGCCTGATGAAAAATGGTAACCGTCGCCTATAGGCATGAACAGTACCATTGATAACGGATATAGATATAGTGTGACGCCCATGATACCTTTTAAGCATTGCCATTCCTAAGGACTAATATACCTCTGTCCTTTGTAATTTCATCGCCATATCTCATCCTTTAAACCAAAACACATCCATACAAATTTTGCTCCACGGCAGAAATCAGAATGGGACAGAAGTGCCAAGCAGACAATTTATACAAAGTTTCCTATGCTAATGAATTTCGTTTCAACGTATAAACATACGTTTTCACGCATTATCACACTCGACATGTACGCAAATTTCTACTATGAAGCAGATAGTACCTACATGAAAGATCTCATTTATTTTATGTTAGGTATATATGTTGTCTAAACGGTTACGAGAATTAAAAGACATTGTGTACACATACGCTACGCGACGAAAAAGTTTTTCAAAGCTTCCGCCTAGTATGTCGTCTTTTTGGTTCAGCAATCATGTTACGCTTTTATACTGATTGTTACTTGTTAAATATAGGAGAATAAAATGTAAATATATTTTTTTCGCATAAAATATTAACAGATGCTGGTACCAGCTGCGTAGACGATGAATAAACTGTAGGACTTTAAACTTTTTTGATTGTCAAATTTACAATAGTTTCCTATAATACATGACCCCCGACTTAAAATAAAAAACAAAAATATATTCGATGGTCGACAATTCGTCGTCTACGTCAGTCCTAAAACTAAGAAAACATGTGGATGTTAGTGACTTACAATAAATATTCTCTTAACAGGACTCGAACTTTTCTACGTACCAACGAATGTGGTCGTTCATGGAATCAGCCCGCCCCACAGTCTTCACAAGTAGCAATAAAGAAGGGGAGGAACGGGTGATGAGGGGCAAGGGCTCTTATGCCTACTTGATGGAGTCAACCACTATTGAGTACGTGGTCGAGAGGAATTGCGACCTAACACAAGTGGGCGGGATGCTCGACTCGAAGGGATATGGAATTGCCATGCCGCCTAGTAAGATTTCTGTTTTCTTATTTATAGAAACTCATGCTTAGATATGTTTAATCTTAATAATATTATTTCATGTTTATTAATGAATAATATCGTGTGACTCTAATTCCAATGAAGTCGACGTTTTTTCTTAATTACTTTTGAAACTCACAAATAAATTATAATTAATTTAATTGTTGGTTGTCATAATTTATATAATAAACTTTTCACTTCTATATAAATTATAAAAAAGCCTTGCATACACAAAGTATCTAATCCATAATAATTTGTAAATTAATTTAATTAAAAAGAAAGAAAAATCTTTAATGTTGTGAAGGATATGAAGTTAATAGATAAAGTATCAGCAATTGTTACAATTTTAGATTCGCCATATCGCACCGCGATAAGCGGAGCCGTACTCAAACTGCAAGAAGAAGGAAAATTACACATCTTAAAAACTAAATGGTGGAAAGAAAAACGCGGGGGAGGGTCTTGTAGGGTAAGTACCTTTTATTTCTTATTAGTCTTTACCCTTAACTTCATCCACGTAACGAGGTTATATTGACTGTTATAGCCTTAGTTATATCTTTCCATAATATATTGTTTGTATACAAATTGTATAACAACTGGTTGACCCACTATATAATTGAATAGAATCCTTATTAATATATTATAATACAATTATAATATTATAGTAAGGACTCTATTCAATTTGCAATTAGGTAAATAAAATTAAAAAGAAAACTTTAATTAAAGCTAAAATACACTCACTTGAGTTAAAATTAATATGCATCAATTGAAAATCAAAATATAGTAGTAAAACATCTAAAATGTTATATCACAAAATAAAACGACTTCAATCTAATTTGTATAGATCCGATATCAAAGTAAAGCCTAATTCATTAAAAAAGAATTAACAATAACTATAAATACTATAATGAAGCAGGTCTCACATAAGACACAAAAATAAATAATGTCTAATTGAGAACCTTCTCCATTTCAAAGTAGGTTAAACCAGTTTCTAAACAAATCTAATATAAAAGCAGCAACGAATTCTGTTCAAAGAGTAGGTAATCGATCTAAAATCTGATTTCAGGACTGATATCTCTCGCCATTTACATCTTATGTAATGGTTGGGTAAAGCGTGAAAGAAATCAACGATAGATACGATTCAGAATAAGCTTTGGATTTTTGAATAGACCGATTTATATAAAAACCGTTCCTCAAAGTCAATAATGACATATCTACCATATACAATTGAAATATATAATTGCGATCTTCATTTTATCTTTAACTGTATATTTTTATCTATATTATTTTATTATATATTTGTTTATATAATTAATTTAATAATACTATATTTAGTCTGCTTTATTCATTTAAAAATTTACTTTTGTTATACACCAAAAATAATGTAATATAGATTACATAATGATATTTTAATGCATATATGTTGTATATATATATGGATATTGGAATATATTCTGTGATACCCATTGTCTATGCGACAGTTATCACAAAGGTGGGCCGTCAGCAGTAGCGTAACTATACCCGTAGCAAATTCATTAGATGGGAGGGTCCCCTTATCAAAAAAGGTCAATGTTGTAGTTTCATTTTTATATTATGTTAGATTTATAATATGCGGTATAATATTTAATTTAAAAATTAAGTAGATTTGCATACTTACGCACACTATTACAATTATTGTGACTAATTTTGGTTTTTGAAAATACCTTGTTGAAATCTTGTTAATTTATTCGCATAATTCGTGAATATTCTTCAATTAATGCTCAAATTGATTACATTGATTGTTATTATAAATAGTTTTTTTTTTTTTTTAACCGTGCTATAAATGTTCTTCTGTTCATTACTGACAAAATACAAATTTGACAGACAAAAAATGTAATTAGAAAATTTACAATTGTCTTTCTGAGAAATATTATAATTGATTTGAAGACTATTTTAATATAAAATTTTAAGGACAAACTCCAAATTCAATATTTGCATGCCACACGGTTGTATACATACAGAGATGCTGTTTTTAAAATTAAATACTTGTGGTGTAATAACCTGTATAAATTAAATATTCGTTCATTCCTATGCTCACGGCTACTTAAACCAGGGGACTCCTCAGGACAGGGTCTATGCCATTTTATCCGCTCTGCTACCCTGTTGTTACGCCACTGACCGCCAGATTCTTTGTCATTCGGTACATTTAACTACAAATGGCAGATTAGTAATGTGTGCATTATTGTTAAATGTTATTTATGTAAATGTTATATGTATTTTAGTGTCTGATTGTACATCTTTTTTTAAATCTATTAACATTTTTAAATAGGACGAGACATCAAAATCGTCGTCGACTGCTAATGAGCTTGGCCTAGCGAACGTCGGCGGCGTATTCGTCGTACTGATGGGTGGTATGGGGGTGGCTTGCGTTATCGCAGTCTGCGAATTTGTCTGGAAGTCTCGTAAGGTCGCCGTGGATGAGCGGGTGAGCTAACTCGAGCTATTAAATAATAATAAATTGATTAATTTAATAAGAAAGAAATAAAATGTTATTGATGAATAATATGCTCTGTGCAATATAGACATAGCATAACAATAATAATTGATAAATATCTCTAACTACCCTATTATTTGTTACAGTAATAAGTATGCAAGTATATTTGAGATTGGAATACTGAGTTCATTCATCATTCCCTTGCCTTTTTCCATTTGTTTGGGGTAGGAGCAATATGTCTTCTTCTTCCACAAAACCCTGTCAAATATCATTTCCGGGCTCACACCTCTGTTATCACCTTTCACAAAGTCCATCCACCTTTTTCGGTCGTCCCCTACCTTTACATCTATCCACTTTCATACTTAACACCTATCTTTAAAATATGACTTTATATGACCATAGCAAGACAATCTATTATAATATTTCAGTATTCCAATGAATTAGTGTCTTGGAAAATTTAAAAATAAAAATAAAAGGGATATTGCAAGCACAGGATCAAACACTTTCTAATAAAACTGATCATGTATGTATGTCATGTAACAGCGACGTGACAGTATATTCAGTGATGACCATAATAATATTCTTGTCTATAGACGACGGTTACAATTTTCTATCATTTAAGCTGTCAAATTGTTTACCATTACAAGTTGTATTAAAATTGACACGTTCTTCCACGAACAATCTTTTTTTTTCACATTCCCATTAATTTAATAAAAAGGTAACCAAATTTTGTTGAAATTATGACAGAAACAATAAAAATTGAATTGCTTACAAAACATTTAGACTGCATCTGGTCAGATAAACTTACCCATTTGTTTACAATTTTATTCAGTTCCATTGAAACAGATTGTAGTAATAGTTATTTCATACATGAGTTCAAGTTTACGTGAATAGACTTTTCCCGTGCTTTTGATACCCTAAAACATGCACAAATAATTACTAAACTTGATGAGTCTGGTGTACGTGGGCCTTTACTCAACTGGTGCAAGAACTATTTACAAAATCGTAAATTCACCGTTAAAATAGATGATGTATACAGTGATCATGTACCAGTAACTGAAGGTACGGCACAAGGATCTGTATTAGGTCCGCTACATTTTTTGTCTTATGTTAATAATATGCATAATATCTTGAAACACAGTTCATGTTACCAATTTGCAGATGATACGTGTCTAGTATTGTCTGACAAAAATATTCAAAAAGCACGAGACCTTCTACAATCTGATGTCAATGTCCTTCTTGAATGGTGTCATGATGCCGGATTGGTATTAAATCCAATTAAAACACAACTTTTGATCATAAAATCACCCTATTTAAAATTTCGTCCTCTATATAAACCTATCATTGCTCACAACCACAAGTGTCTACATATAACTAATGAAAGGAACTTTTGCAGCTGCCCCGCTATAACGGTCAATCAAGGACAGCCAAACATATCTTGGCTTAACTATAGATAGTAAGTTTAATTGGAGTAAACACATCGAAAAAATTTGTAACAAATTAAGACAATTTTTAGCTAATATAGTCATCCTTAGACACCGAATTCCCTTTAAAGTAAAACTGATGCTGTATAATTCATTGGTCGAATCTTATGTTCAATATGGGTTGTCAAGTTATGGCCGCACTTATAAAACATATTTAAATGATATTTTTAAACTTCAACGTAGAATTTTAAGAACTATTGTATCTCCCAAAATTAAGATGCAGTATTATGACGATGATACTGGTCTTTTTCGACATTGCAATATTTTACCTGTACATCTACAATTTAAATACACATTTCTTAAGGAAAACTTTTTTAACAATAAATATTGGAACGAAATTAATCATGCTGTATATACGAGGGCGGTCGCACGGAAGCAACTTTGTACCAATAGCGCTCGCGTAAATAACTGTTATGGTGAGCGTACGGCTGACTACCTGGTTCCTCGATTTATTAATGAACTACCCACCGATGTACGAGATAATATTACTATTAGCAACATCAAGTGTAAATTAAAACGATACTTCTTGCATGGTTTTAATACAATCTAAATAATTTTAATGTATTTAGTATTAATATAAACCTACGTGGTTTCTAAATGCTAATGGAACATAAATTCTGTAACTTGTATTTTTATTGATAATAAAATAAAAAAAAAAAAAAAAAAAAAAAAAAAAAATTTGTATATTAAACAAAATAAATAAAATTAATATGGAGCCAACACATCACAACTGGTGCCATCTTTGCAAAGATATTGTGTAACGTAATTAAATATATACAAAAATTGTCATAAATCCAAAAATATTATTTCTAAGTAAACATGCAAATGCCGGCTGATCTGGCCATAGAATGAGCCACCCGTTCATTTTCCGTGGGTGCAATAAGAGATGGCAAAGGGAACTTAATTGTCGAAGCATAGGCATCGTCGTCCTTCTTAAAACAACGTCAAAGCCTAACAGCGGTTGCCCACCTGCCTGCTAAGCATGGCAACTACTGGCAAAACCCTCCTTATGGGGGAGGTCTATGTTCAATAATGGAAAATTAACGGCTGATATAATAATAATAAAAATTTAATTTAGATTGATTTATCTATTCTATTTCATATATTTGTAATCACATAACAATTACCTTTTTGTCACTTTATAAACTTTCTGTTACCTACTCATTTCTTATTCTGTCATTCTTTGTTATCCCACGCATCCGTCTTATTATTTGTCGTTTACAAAAAGAAATAATAAAATAATTTTAGTGACATTCAATTTATTGTTAAAGGAAAATACTTCGTCGTGTTTTATATTGTTTTATGCAAATTATGCAAATGCTGATGGTCCATCTGATGGAAAGTTGACTTTTCTTATTTGTTTCTTTCTTTTCTTTTTTTCTTGAGAACTAATATTTTATGCCTCTATATTCTGGTAGTTTTACTGCTATACATATAGCATAGCTGTTTGACAGCAAAAACGACCGAGGAATAGATATATTATTGCAGAAAACTTTTATATAAGAACCTAATCATCCTAAAAATACATACATAACTTTGGAGAAGTTAAACTACATATTATAACACCATTCGGTCTATTAATTATAATGAAACATACAAGTTTTCATATTTTATATAAATTATAAAATGATATATATTATTAGGTCCATGTTATCATTCGTGTCTATATCCGACAGTTATTTTATATTATAAAAAGATTATAAAAAACCCAATGTTATTTTTTTTTAATTTCCAAAGAATACATATACCAAAGAATTTTTAATAAAAATTGTCGAAATGTAATGAATATCTTGTATTAAGTGTAACATAACGGCAACAATCGACGTACACCTCTGACTACCTTATTAGAAATTACAATCGTGAGCACATTTATTTATTTTAATACAAAATATTTTTATTAACCCTAAGGTCTCAAAATGTACACTTTACCTATTAATTTTTTTTTCCTTTCTAGTCTTTTTGGTTCGTAATCTTTAGACTAAGAACTAATTTTATACCATGTTAATAAATCATATAAAGAATTAAGGATGTGTCTAATAATACTTTTTTCTTAATAAAGTTAAGTGATAACAACGCCGATTGAGGTTTATAACGAAAATACAATGTTCACGTGTTCTTTACAAGTATATTGTTTTTAATACATTGATCACTCTAATATAAATACAATAAAAATTATAAGTACAATTTATATTACAAAAGTGAATACAAAGCTAAACCAACGCCACCAAGTCGTTGTCACGCTATTTCTGGAGTCAATTTTATTCGATGCAGTACGCCGATAAACGAATACAATTTTCGTATTCCCCTCTCGATTGTTTTCCAACAGAATTTGATTATTTAATACAAATTTTATTTTGTTCTAGGTTTATTTTTAAAATATTGGTAAATATTTTCGTTTTATTGTAAACGTGCTATTGTAATATTCGAATTTTATATGGATTCAAAGATTGGGCAATGTGTGACGTACGCCATCGTAGCTGTAATCTTAGAAATGCTAGTACTCTGAATTATTTTATGTAGGGTTCATATTATATTTACATATTTACATTTACATACATGTTATATTTGTATCTATGCTAATATTAGAACTATATTACTAAATCTAGATACAGTTTTTTTCCTATAAAAGGCTCGACAAAAATTGCCTGTAAAAAGCAGTCTGAAGAAAATGTAAAACTGTAATAATCTTGTTTGTATTATTAGTATGCATATTAAGAATATAATTATATCGGCATTATTATTTTATATATATATATGTATTAATCAATACTTAATTTTTTCATCACTGCTGCAACTGCACACAGAAGGAAGAGGTACGATTTTTTTAATACCAAATATGCAAGCATCCTAATATGTTCTACCTTATGAACTTTTTGCAATCAGGCTTCACTTTGCTCGGAAATGGCGTCGGAGCTACGTTCGGCATTGAAATGTCCAAGCGGCACTGGTAGCGGCGGCAATCCGGGGAGCACGCGAGACGGGGCCGGCTCCCCCTACTTGCACTATGGTTTCAGTACCAAGAGTCAGCTCCACTAGCGCCCGGATCCTGCCTCCTCGCCCCCCAGCGATGTGTAGGCACTGTGGACTTTGATAATGTGCTTTCTGTCATTATCACTAACAGACAAATACGTGACGTGAATTTATAAACTTGGTAAGATCTTTAAATGCAAATTATACTTAATCACTGTAATATGTATTGTAAATAATTCATATCTTGTCGAAAACAATATGACGATGTTGTGAACTAATGTATTTTAAGAAATTACGTTGTGCCAATGCCAATAAATGTTTCGAATTGTTAAATTGTAAAAATGAAAATTGATTTCTAAATTTAAAATCTGTGCCAAAATCAAGAATTTCAATTTCTTCATTTAAAACGCCTATTAAACCATAGGTTTTGTTATCCGTTTTATCAAAGTCCTGCTTATTACTGGTTAAAAATCTGACAGTCTTACAAAACTAAAATTTGTTATTTCGTTTAACAAAACTCTAAGTGATTAAATATTATTTAGCCAGTGTATTAATGTTTATTTGTAAATTGATATGCCACAATCTATAGATTTTTGAAAAAAAATGTTACATTAATAATTAGTAATTATTGAGCTAACGCCTCTGTCTTGAGGAGACGGACGTTGACAGTCACGACACAGTTTTTAACTAATGTGGCTGTTATCGTACACCATCCTACATTTGTATTATAACAAAAATTTTTTGATTCCAAAAAATATTATTACTAAGCACCCTTAACACAGATGTAAGGCGTGCTTTTGTTTAAACATGTATTGCACATCTATCTATCGTAAATTTCTTTTCTTTTTTGGAAAAAGGCGGTGAACATTTAATATAATGATTGATAGAAAATACCAGAAGGTGATATTATTAAACACCGGTAATTTATAATTCATTACTTATAGGAAAATAATTGACCCTATCGTTTAATAGGTGGGAAAGCCAATTTGCTGTTACTTTTAACAATTATCGTGTAAACATTTTCGAAGTAGAATATACCTAATATTATATTTAGATTACCTATTGGTGTTTTATACATTTAATTCTATTAGAATTAAAATCACATTTTATATAAGTCCTAAGGTTAACATTGTAAGTGTAATTAATTGAATGTTCCATTAAATACATTCTTATCGAATTCAATTGTAAATAAATCTTCTATAGAAATTTTACTATTATTATCTAATACAATTTCTTTGATTATTTAAGTAAACTTGTTAAGTTTGTGATATTTATCTATTTAAAGACTTATTATAATCTGCAAATTTAATTATCATAATGGATGGTAAATGTTACTTTATTGTAAATTAATGTTTATTTGTTGCCATTATTTTAATTAAAAAATATAAAAATAATACAATTAATACCAATGCTCTAATTTATGGCAGCTCAAATTGTGCCAAAGATCTAGGTAACTCTTATTAGGTATACATATTTTGTAAGTTCACCTTTCGGAGCTGAATTTAAACAAATAAATTGTTTTACTAAAAGCTACCTTTATTTATTAAACTATTTGGAATTACCTTTCGTTGCCTTTTTTTACAAGAAAATATTATCAGAGGGAGACTTTGTACAAAAGTCGATTGCTTGGGTACCTCTGTCCCATTCGTGTTTCTACCGTGAAGCAGTTGTGTTTGCATGGCTGTGTTTCAGTTTGAAGAATGGGATATGGCGTGAATTTACAGGGTACAGAGGAATAACATCTGCGTCCTCAGGAATGGCAACGTATGCGGAGTATGATGGGCATAACAGTATACTCTGTTATGTCCATGGTACTGCTCATGTCTATAGGCGACGGTTACCGCTTTCCATCAGGTGGGCCGTCAGTTTGTTTGCCATTCTAAGTTGTATAAAAAAAAATCAATACTGAATGATCATTATTCTCGACGGATATTGTCTGCACTGGAAAAAATAAACTAATAATATGGGAAAAAACTAATATAGGATAAATATCGACTTTATACGGCCACTATGTAAACTCAAGACAATATCAAGTCACATTAATATCAATCTAGCGGCTACAACGTGGCATGACTTTAAATCCAGATAGAGCAGTTATATATACATATATGTATATCAATCCATATATATAAAAAATCGTCACTGGTACATAAAAGATATATAAGAAAATCTATTATAGAGAGGCTTTATGAACGCAATGGAACCCAAAACAATAATTTTGAAGTTTTTGTGTTTGTTTGTTTGCCTGTACGTTTGTGCACACTAATCTCAGAAACGGCTAACCTAATTTAAATGCGGTTTTCACTAATGCGTTGCGATTTACTCCACTTAACATTTATTGTTTGTTTCATTTCAATCGATTTATAAATAAAAAAGTTATATCAATCTAAAGAATTACATATAAAATGGTATAAAAAGATATAGGATATATAATATTATAGTAGTATATAATACTTTATATATAAATCAGTATATAAAATATTATATGCTGATTCACGCGAGTAAAACCGCGGGATACTACTAGTTTATAATAAGTAAGTTATATTTGGTATACGAGTACTACTTGAGATGGAGAAACAATCCACGTAGATGAAATCGCAGATAAAAATTATACAACTACGATATTGAAAGGTAAACCACATAAGGTTATGTTGCTTGTACCCGTTAAAAATTATCATAAACAAAGAAAAAAAAAGACATCAGTAACATATGAGACAGTCGACAGTCGAGACAGTCGATAATCCAAATAGCTGTTGTCTTTATCATATACATAAAACTCGGTTATCTCATATTCCATTGAATATACTACATACACATACACTGAGAATACAATGTAGTACGGTAAGCGATCCTATCATTATCATATCTTTGATTAAAATACGTGACCGGGGAATACTTGAATAATTTGCATACGACAAATTAAGGACGAAAGATATAATTAAATAATGCGAAAGACTATGTCTACCTCAATATACCCGAAGGTACCGATGAAACCTAGACTAAGCTTATCATGATCAATTAAATTACGTTCTATTTGAGAGAGATTTAAGCATGAAACTGAGATATTTTTAGGATGAGATAAATATCGATATAGTAAATCTGCTAGACCTTTAGTCCTTGATTTTCCCTGCCTACTTCATAAAAAAAAAGGACGTGAAAGTAGGTTATGCACTCAATGTTTCTGGTTATTTTATTAGAATTATTTTATTAAATTCCATTGCCATTAGTATGTGTGTGTAATTGCCAACACTCGAAGATTGCCCACCAGTATTACTACCAGAAGTTCCGTAACCTTCCACATTAGTTATCAATCTCCGACTACCATTCTATTCACGCACGTTTTGCGTCACATGTTTCACCTCTAAACGAGGCAACTTTAGGCAAATTATTAGATCGCTGCTCGGAGGCGTAACCGTTCGGCACCCAAACTGCGAAGATAACATCTAGTTCAATAAAATATATAGTCAATATTCTGGTACACAAATTATATTTCTATTAAAAAAAAAGATTTTGAAATGTCATAAGGATAGTAAATGATATAAATAAGGTTTATTAAAGATAAATGAGTGAACCTTAGTTCACGACTGTTTTACAACTTTTATACGAGTTTCTGCTAGGTGTATCGACGTTATGACCAGTCGTTATTTATATGGGCTGGAGGTTATAAAGGCTAGCACCTATCAAAATACCTGGATATTGTCTTGTCATAGTCATAAATTAATGTTTTACTTAACTATTCATTCATAAAATAGAAGAAAAAAGATACATGATATCGATAAAAAAAGATTTAAAAATAAAAACGACTTCAATAAATCGCGGAAAAATTTATAAACGATGAATAGAAGTGAACCCTATTTATTTCAAAAGAATAATTAAAACAATTTAAAATTAGCAATAAAACGTTCGTAATGCCTGTTTTGTAGGTAGGTGAGGAAAAATTTTCAGTAATTTTAGATAAATAAATACCTTAAATTTATTTCAGATCTTAGTTCCATTTGAGAGGACGTCGAGGCTTAATGCCATACTAGTATACGTCGTGATAGACCTAAAAGAGCGGTTTGAGTTTTGATTGACTCTCTAATAAAGAAAAATACCATCAATAATAAAACAATTAAACCCAATAACGCCAATAGGTTCACTTTCTATAATCCAATATTCTGGATAAAAGATCCTGATTCTATGTTAAACAAAAAATAAATTAACTGTACTTTATTTGTCAATTGTTGTAATATATATTCTTCTAAGTGGAAGTACAAGCACAGAGTTAGTATCACAGTTATAAATTATTGGTGTTACTGGTTTGTAAAAATACCATTTAATTAACAAACTGGCGAGATTGTGACAGAGAGCTTATTATCTAGAACAAATTACTGCAGTCCACGCAAGCAAACGATATAAGGGTGCTGTTGACCACAAAAACAGGTAAACACATCTTACTTCATTTGAACCTTATCCCAAAGGAATAGGGTCCTTCAGTACCCACACACCATTGTTGCTGACCGTACCACAGATTACAGGCACATTCCGCGCTGTTTACATTAAGCCCCGTAAACAGCTCCGTATCATACCAACTGGTTGCTGGATACTGGTATTAACTTTTTATGCGCCTATTTATCTTAACCGAAATAAGTATCTGTAGGTACCTAAATTAATTGTCGGTTTAAATATCACAGCAGCCTAATCTTGTAAAGCATAAACATTTTTCGTTCTATTCTGGTATTCCCCATTGTTTTGTTTAGAGAAAAAATTTCAAGGATTATTCATTGTTAATTATATATAGTTACTATAATATCGATCTGTAACTCTTTCTTAGAAAGGATTCTTCTTTATTAGCCAAGATATAAAAGTTAATTTCCAATTTTTACTAAAAAAAATTGGTCATATAAATTATTCAAATAGTTGAAAGTTTTATTAAATCTAGGATATTGATTTAAGTGACTTTTTAATACTTAATTTTTTTTATATAAACTTACACAAAAATACGCTTCCTAATTTTAAAAACTTAACAATAATATTAGTGCATTTAAAAATATTTGTTTATTTAACACTTTATTACACCAACATTACAGTATTTGTTTAACAATTTTCGATAAGTATAGTATAGTACAAAAGGCGGTCTTATTGCTAAGCAATCTCTCCCAGACAACCTTTGGGTAGAAAGAATTAAAGAATAAATAGGTAATATATATGTAATTTATATTGTTATATATTTAATTTTTATTTTGTTGCAACATTTAAATCGTGTCCTATCATTTTTCACATCTTACATGTAACTTATTTCACGCTGGCTAAATTTTATCTAATCCAATTACAGTATCACGACTACGAAGGCCAGCATGTGAGTGAGAAACGTCGCACGCAACCTCAATTCTAACGATAACCCATTGGATACCGGTTTTCCGGTTTCCGGTTAAACGCATACAACGTAGCTTTTGGGACGAAATCCAGCGATAATAACATGAGAGGAGACGCGGGTTTATGCCTCGGAGCACCTGCCACGGCTGGTAGGAAAGCTACGCAATTCGCGTTTTATAGCTTATGTTTTTATTAGCTCGACTTTTCTATTTATATCAAATTGGATTTTTTATTGTTTTATCTGTGACGTCGCTAGCGGTAGGAATAGAAATGAAGTAGTCTGTCAAATGTATTTTATGTAGCACAGACATTGAATATATCATCAGAGATAGCTACAAATATTTATTTAGGTTTATCTCATCGAATAACAGTAATATTTTACAAATTCAATTGAATCCTTTTTATACTAATATGTTTATTCGTATATATGCTTCGAAAACAGCATTATATTGCACAAACTGTATTTACTTCGGTATCTGGTTTTATATACCTATTTGCATTATCTATAATGAAAATAATGAAGTGTTAAGATCAACATCATCATATACCTGCTACTGATTCTCACCACCGTACAACCCGCCATAAACTAAAGTTCCATTCCAACCACCTGGATGAATGCCTTGCAACGTGCATTTTTGAAGGCACTTTCTTCCATGCTCAACCACTCTTTGGAATAAACTTCCAATAGCATTTCCGAACCGATACGTACATCATAACCTTCAAGAAAAGAGCATATTCCTTTTTAAAATGCTGGCAGTACACCTCTCTGTGTTGCGGGTGATAATGGGCGGCGGTAGTCACTTACCGTCAGAATAGCCGCATGCTCGTTTGCCCTCTGTGTTATAAAAAAAATCATATGGATCTCTCTTCATTATTATTCTAAGAGACCTAAGAGATTATCCTTCTATTATCAAGATATTTCATTTCCAGTGCATTTTTGTAATAAACTTTGCTCCCTTATATGTTCTAACATTAAAAAGGAATAGTGACAGATTATATTCATATTGTTACTTCTTCATCACATTAATGTCTGTTCATGATCAAATAAAAATGTCATCACATGTTTATATAACAACTACTACTTATACGAATCGCCTCCTGATGTCACAAATTTCTAAGTCCCCTAAAATATACACAAAGAACGGTTATATTAAATTGCACCTAATTAATAA